TAGGTATATATACATACATATGTTTTCTTTTAATTATTTGTTTATTTCAAGGTAAATCCGAATTAAAAGAAAAAAACAAAGAAAATATAACAGAAAACTTATTGATACAAATTAAATGTTTTAAATTTATTGTCATCTTTAAAAAGATTAACAATTTCAACAGCAGTAAATTTCGAAAATTTTTCAATATTCACAATAAATTATTTTCCTCGTATACTGATTAATTTCCTTATTAAACCTTATTAAGTAGAACATTTAAGCAACATTTAAATTTAAAACAGAACTTTCGACCTCCTCATGTATAGTTAATTTATGATAAACTTAATTGTTCTTACCCACAATAACGACAAAAAGTACATTAAATTATAATATGACTATTTTAATTCCTCACTTTTTTTTCATTGCTTCCAATAATGTGTAATTTTAACAATCTCATCAATTTATTGAGATTTAATGATTTGTTTATATATGTATGTATATCTGACAACGAACAGCCAGTCAGAGTCATGTTAAGTCTGAAATGTTTATATATTATCGACCATTGATTTTTGTTTCCATATACATATATAGGGAGCCAGCCACAGAGGCTGGTAAAAGCCAAAAAGCTACTTTCCACCAATAAGCAAACATTAATACATATAAGAATTACAGACTGGTCAAAAGGACGGACATATTGTCTGTCTGTTAGACAGATGAACTCAATCAGTTTTCAGTATATCATTATCATCTTCGTCGTCATCATTATTATCATCATCCTCACCAAACGTTGTCAATATATTAAGTGGAATACTTTCGCACTGCTCGTATTTCATTTTTATATTTTTATACCCTACACCACTTTAGTGGGGAGGGTATATTGGATTTGTGCTGATGTTTGTAACATAGAAAAATATTCGTCCTAGACCCACCTTAAAGTATACCAATTGGCTTAGAATCGTTTTCTGAGTCGATTACGCTATGTCCGTCCGTCTGGCTGGCTGGCTGTCCATGTAAACCTTGTGCGCAAGGTACAGGTCGCAATTTTCAAGATAATTGGATGAAATTTGGCGCGCCTATTGAAATGGTTAAAATCGGTCCATTATTTCACCTAGCCCCCATAGAACAGGTCCCCCCAAAAAGTGCTTCTGAGCTCATAATTATGTTAAATATACAGATATATCGATAAATTACGGCACAACTAAGTTTTATAGAAGTCTTGATGACCCTGCCAAATTTCATAAAGATCGGGCCCCATCTGACCCTAGCTCCATACAAAGTCCCCTTCAGAAAATTACTTGAATGTTCCAAATTAACTTATAAACACAAATATCGCGATGAAATTCAGTACAATAAAATATTATGTAAATATAAATATATCCACAAAATTTTATCGGGCTTGGTCCATATTTGCCCCTAGCCCCCATATAAAGCCTCTTTCAGAAAATTAGTTTTTCATTCATAAATTGCTTAAATGTATCGGGACAAGGGAATATTGAAGATAAATGCTTCATTATGAAAAATAAATCACATTTAATATTCATAACTGGTGTAGGGTATCATATGGTCGACCACGCCCGACTATACTTTCTTAGTTGTTCGTTTTAATGCTTGTTAGTTGGAATTGGTCCAGTTTATTTAATTGGTTAAAATATTAAAAATCTTTTTTTTTTTGTAAGAAACAAGAATTTTAATTTAATTTTCTTTATTTTTTTTTTTTTCTATTTTCAGTCTTCGCCTCCTTCTGCTCTCTTAAATGGTTCAGCACTTTTCTTAACCTCTCCTACAACTAAAGATATTTCTACATCCTCTCTAGCCTCTGCTACTAATGACGTCAATTTGATTGTGGCAAATAAACTGAATGCATTAGGAATGCATTCGAATCATCATCAACAGCAACAACAACACACCACCCAGACATTGCCTCAAGGCTGTAATCGGTAAGTTTATGGCTAAAATATTTATATCTGTGTGTGCAATTGTATGTATTTTTCAATATTAATGTAATTTTTTTGTTTTTCTTCATTATTCTGAAGTCGTTTTTTTGTTCTTTTTTTGCTTTTTTTATAATGAATTTCTGCTTTAATATTCTTTGCGTTTTTTATTTTCTTTTCATATTTTTATGACCTGTCATTATTCATTAGACCCCGGCTATTTAAACATTTATGGCAACATTTGTTTTTCAGTTTATTACATTTGGTTTATGACTTAAATGTCATAATTAAGTTGCACTCATACGTAGTTCATAAATAATTTTTAATATTCCATTTTTATAGGATATTTATAGTTAAAATTTTATTAGTTTCACGAAGTTTATATTATAATGATAACTATGTAAACTATTGGGGGTTTTTTATACTCTACAAGAAATTCTTGAATTTGACAGAAAAATGTTAATTATTTTCACTATGTATTTGTTAACCTTTAAAAAGTTTTTATGTCATGCATTTCGTTCATCATTACATAATGGTAAATTCTACCCCAATCAAATTAGTTGATCAGATCCGTTTTGCCATTTGAGCGATTTTTCAACGAAATATTTTTGGAAAAGTTTAACAGTTTGATCCTAGCAGTGGGTTATATCATACCAATAATCCTACAGTGACCAACGCTTTATATTATACTAGCATACCCTGGGTGCTTCGCTACCCTAACCAAAATTAATACATACAAAATTTTGATTAAAAATTTTCTTATTTGTTCCAAAAAAATTGTGCCTTCAAAAAGGTACCAAACAATTTACTCGAATTTGGTCCTATATAGGCCTTAGTACTCGAATTCCAAAATAATATACCAATAGCTTATTTTGTGTGAGTAAATAAACTACTTTTTCAAATTTTATAAAAATTGGCTCAATGAGTTTGAATAAAATTAAATTTCCCGTTTTTTCCCCTTTTTTGTACTTTTTTCCCCAGTGAAATAGCAAAAATTTGTTTCAATAAATATTATAGAGCTAGTCCGTAATTTAATAGGAATACTTCAATAAATCGAAAAAGTTTTCTTAATGTGCAAAAAAAAGTACCAAAAATAAAGTTTTTCTCCTTTACACCCAAAAAGGACTGAATTTTAAAAAAGTACGAAATTTTGGGAAATATATAAATAAAATATACAAAAATTTTATTTGTTTATCAGTTAAAAAGTTATAAAGGGCCAAAAAGGTACCAAAAACACCTTTGTTACACATTTTCACCCCTTAAAAGTACGAATTTCAAAAAAGTACCAGACACCCATCTGCTTGTTTTAAGAGTAGATACATGTGCATTTCAAATTTTTCTTGTATCACTAATATTAGGTAAGAAAATTAAGGAAACCTGTTTTACACGTTTTTTCCCTTTTTTACCCCTAAATGTACAAATTTTCAAAAATCCTCCCTCCTTAGTGGATCTATATAACCAAAAACACATCTACTGTCAAAATTCCATGATTCTAGGTTCAGCCGTTTGGGCTGAAATTTGAACTTTCGACCTCCCTCATGTATAGTTAATTTATGATAAAACTTAATTGTTCTTACCCACAATAACGACAAAAAGTACATTAAATTATAATATGACTATTTTAATTCCTCACATTTTTTCATTGCTTCCAATAATGTGTAATTTTAACAATCTCATCAATTTATTGAGATTTAATGATTTGTTTATATATGTATGTATATCTGACAACGAACAGCCAGTCAGAGTCATGTTAAGTCTGAAATGTTTATATATTATCGACCATTGATTTTTGTTTCCATATACATATATAGGGAGCCAGCCACAGAGGCTGGTAAAAGCCAAAAAGCTACTTTCCACCAATAAGCAAACATTAATACATATAAAGAATTACAGACTGGTCAAAAGGACGGACATATTGTCTGTCTGTTAGACAGATGAACTCAATCAGTTTTCAGTATATCATTATCATCTTCGTCGTCATCATTATTATCATCATCCTCACCAACGTTGTCAATTATATTAAGTGGAATACTTTCGCACTGCTCGTATTTCATTTTTATATTTTTATACCCTACACCACTTTAGTGGGGAGGGTATATTGGATTTGTGCTGATGTTTGTAACATAGAAAAATATTCGTCCTAGACCCACCTTAAAGTATACCAATTGGCTTAGAATCGTTTTCTGAGTCGATTACGCTATGTCCGTCCGTCTGGCTGGCTGGCTGTCCATGTAAACCTTGTGCGCAAGGTACAGGTCGCAATTTTCAAGATAATTGGATGAAATTTGGCGCGCCTATTGAAATGGTTTAAAATCGGTCCATTATTTCACCTAGCCCCCATAGAAACAGGTCCCCCCAAAAAGTGCTTCTGAGCTCATAATTATGTTAAATATACAGATATATCGATAAATTACGGCACAACTAAGTTTTATAGAAGTCTTGATGACCCTGCCAAATTTCATAAAGATCGGGCCCCATCTGACCCTAGCTCCATACAAAGTCCCCTTCAGAAAATTACTTGAATGTTCCAAATTAACTTATAAACACAAATATCGCGATGAAATTCAGTACAATAAATATTATGTAAATATAAATATATCCACAAAATTTTATCGGGCTTGGTCCATATTTGCCCCTAGCCCCCATATAAAGCCTCTTTCAGAAAATTAGTTTTTCATTCATAAATTGCTTAAATGTATCGGGACAAGGGAATATTGAAGATAAATGCTTCATTATGAAAAATAAATCACATTTAATATTCATAACTGGTGTAGGGTATCATATGGTCGACCACGCCCGACTATACTTTCTTAGTTGTTCGTTTTAATGCTTGTTAGTTGGACCTTGGTCCAGTTTATTTAATTGGTTAAAATATTAAAAATCTTTTTTTTTTGTAAGAAACAAGAATTTTAATTTAATTTTCTTTATTTTTTTTTTTTCTATTTTCAGTCTTCGCCTCCTTCTGCTCTCTTAAATGGTTCAGCACTTTTCTTAACCTCTCCTACAACTAAAGATATTTCTACATCCTCTCTAGCCTCTGCTACTAATGACGTCAATTTGATTGTGGCAAATAAACTGAATGCATTAGGAATGCATTCGAATCATCATCAACAGCAACAACAACACACCACCCAGACATTGCCTCAAGGCTGTAATCGGTAAGTTTATGGCTAAAATATTTATATCTGTGTGTGCAATTGTATGTATTTTTCAATATTAATGTAATTTTTTTGTTTTTCTTCATTTATTCTGAAGTCGTTTTTTTGTTCTTTTTTTGCTTTTTTTATAATGAATTTCTGCTTTAATATTTCTTTGCGTTTTTTATTTTCTTTTCATATTTTTATGACCTGTCATTATTCATTAGACCCCGGCTATTTAAACATTTATGGCAACATTTGTTTTTCAGTTTATTACATTTGGTTTATGACTTAAATGTCATAATTAAGTTGCACTCATACGTAGTTCATAAATAATTTTTAATATTCCATTTTTATAGGATATTTATAGTTAAAATTTTTATTAGTTTCACGAAGTTTATATTATAATGATAACTATGTAAACTATTGGGGGTTTTTTATACTCTACAAGAAATTCTTGAATTTGACAGAAAATGTTAATTATTTCACTATGTATTTGTTAACCTTTAAAAGTTTTATGTCATGCATTTCGTTCATCATTACATAATGGTAAATTCTACCCCAATCAAATTAGTTTGATCAGATCCGTTTTGCCATTTGAGCGATTTTTCAACGAAATATTTTTGGAAAAGTTTAACAGTTTGATCCTAGCAGTGGGTTATATCATACCAATAATCCTACAGTGACCAACGCTTTATATTATACTAGCATACCCTGGGTGCTTCGCTACCCTAACCAAAATTAAATACATACAAAATTTTGATTTAAAAATTTTCTTATTTGTTCCAAAAAAATTGTGCCTTCAAAAAGGTACCAAACAATTTACTCGAATTTGGTCCTATATAGGCCTTAGTACTCGAATTCCAAAATAATATACCAATAGCTTATTTTGTGTGAGTAAATAAACTACTTTTTCAAATTTTATAAAAATTGGCTCAATGAGTTTGAATAAAATTAAATTTCCCGTTTTTTTCCCCTTTTTTGTACTTTTTTCCCCAGTGAAATAGCAAAAAATTTGTTTCAATAAATATTATAGAGCTAGTCCGTAATTTAATAGGAATACTTCAATAAATCGAAAAAGTTTTCTTAATGTGCAAAAAAAAGTACCAAAAATAAAGTTTTCTCCTTTTACACCCAAAAAGGACTGAATTTTAAAAAAGTACGAAATTTTGGGAAATATATAAATAAAATATACAAAAATTTTATTTTGTTTATCAGTTAAAAAGTTATAAAGGGCCAAAAAGGTACCAAAAACACCTTTGTTACACATTTTCACCCCTTAAAAGTACGAATTTCAAAAAAGTACCAGACACCCATCTGCTTGTTTTAAGAGTAGATACATGTGCATTTCAAATTTTTCTTGTATCACTAATATTAGGTAAGAAAATTAAGGAAACCTGTTTTACACGTTTTTTCCCTTTTTTACCCCTAAATGTACAAATTTTCAAAAATCCTCCCTCCTTAGTGGATCTATATAACCAAAAACACATCTACTGTCAAAATTCCATGATTCTAGGTTCAGCCGTTTGGGCTGTGCGATGATGAATCAGTCAGTCAGTAACGCTACCCTTTTATATATATAGACTAGCACTATCCGGTAATAATTTTCAATAACATCCGTTGTCAAAGTATATATACATACAGTATATAAAGAAAAATTATAAACACTTTGGTGTAAATTTGGTACCAGGCGTGTATATTTCTTTTTCCCTCTGTGCAGGGGTATGTTGTTCTCTATGAGCATGTCGGATAAATGAGAAGAGTGTTGGTGGGATGAATGGTGATGGATGAAAGGTATCTTATACAAATGATATCCTTTAATTTTCCTTCCTAGTCCAGTTATGTTCAGGGAAAACTCTGTTCGTGCCAGATTTACCACAGTGTGTTCTCTGTGAGTAAGAACAAAGTCCTCGGTTTATTTGATGGATTCGTGTTTTGGACTACCGAATACGTCTCTAGGTGCTGGTGCCGACTTAACAGATGCCATCCCATCTCCGTGGATGCCATCCCATCACCACGGAAGTGATGTTTTTGCATCTCGGAAGTTAAGCAACGGGGCAGCAATGTTCAGAGATTGGATAGCTCGAATAGTTGAGTAAAGTTGTTGTAAATGGACCGGCAGAACCATGTACATAAAAAATTGCCACCCTCGTGTAAGATACACAAATGGCCGTTGGTGAGTAGTCTCAGAAGCTAACCCCGTGAAATAGGCCAAGAAATAGGCCAACACGAATGGTGTTCACATAAAGCACTTCGACATTTTTCACCTTCGTGAGAAGGGTATAAAAAGTTGCAATATCGTTGTGGGAGCCTAACATTAAGTATTGATATTTATAAGTTAATAAAAAGGACACAGAGAACACACTGTATTAAGTCTGGTATGAAAATAGTCACACAACACCGAAGTATCAATCTTTAAACCAAATTCTCTCTTAGCGATTTCTATTTAAGCATAACCACTCGTGTATCCCGAAGTTACCTATCCAACAGCTTCGACAGTTTATAGCTTCGACAGACTGAAGGCTAAAGAAATTTCGGATATTTTGTTCTGAATTGAAGAGTATCTTAGAGAGTGTGCTGCATCAAATGAAACAATTTTTTGTTGGACAGGGCAAGATCTGTACTTTAAGGCGGGAAGGGCATCATGTGGCCAAGCGATGTCATAATGGAATGTTACGCTTTCGTGTCTAACCGCCCATTCGGGGCTTCAAACGAATCAGTTGCATTTCGTACATTTTCACAGGTCATAGTCTAATACAATAAAGCTGCATAATTATCTGTTTTTATAGAGTATTAGAAAAACACGTTGATTCTACACAATTTAACAAGCTAAATTATGTTAAATTTTCGCTTTGAAAATTTCAGAGATATATATAACCCAATTTCTTAAATTGATATTAAAATATTATATAAAATTGTTTTTGCACCTTCAGTTATATTAAAAATATTTAATTATAGTAAATAATTTGTATTTCATTTTAGTTTTGCATGCTTTACCTATATTAGTAGTTAACTTAAAAAAAAAAACAAATTTCAATTATCCTATTTGTGTATTTATAGAATGAAAGTTTTTAAAGTTTAATCCTGTTAATTGTTTCCATTTTTTTGTATATTATCTATTCTATTTATTGCTAACCTATCCTTGCATTTAACCAAAAAAACTTCATGAAATAAAAAAAAACCTAAATCGATTAACTAAATTCCATCATTAAACCAACCAACCACTATCAAACCAACTTCATCTTATAAAAAATTTTAATCCAAATATTAAAATAAACCAAACTAAAAAAAAATAACAAAAAAAAAACTATCCTGTAGTAAAAGTAATGGTTATGCGATCAATGGCACTATACAAACTACCGAAATTCTTTCACAGACTAATGCAACAACAAATGCTAACACAACCTCGGCAACAACTGCAGCAACAGCAAATGATTTGAATTTCTTGCCACAACTAAGGCTGACACCACAAACTCAAGGAACAGAACAGCCTGCAACAACATTTGTATTTACATCGCCGACTTCCACATTCAAACGTAAGAAGCAACAGCAATTGTTAAAAGAAGAACAGGAAGTTGAACAACAAAGGCAAAAACAGCAACAACAACAACTGCAACAGGAGCATTATAACAATAACTTGTATAAAATTGGCAATAGCCACCAAGAAAGGCCAATAGGCACCACTGAAAGTGCAACAACCTTAAGCGAAGATTATCACAGCAGGACTACAATAGTAAATACAAATAATAGAGGAAGTAATTTAACTCCCAAACGGCAGTCTCTACTATTACAACAACAACAACAACAACAACAACCACGAACCAACAGCAGCAGCAACACTAACCCTATAACAAATGATACAAAGACGGTGATAAACAATAGTTTAGGTGTTTTACTAACAGACACCGTTACATATGCACCCTCATCATCGTCTGCAACAACATTCTCTTATATCAACGGAAACGGAACTCTAAACAGAAACTCGAACGGTAACGGATCTACACGTTTAACATTTAAAACGCACACACTACCAGCCATAACAAAAACAACAACCCCTTCTACCTTTATTACGGATGGTGTGGTGGATTTGGTGGCAACAACCAACGTAACAAAATCAAAAGGTCTTACCGGGCGGGAGAATAAACACAACAAACTGTCCGCATCGTTTAAACGTCGTCAGAAAATGCAAGCCAGCAGTAGTGGTGGCAGTGGTACCACAACAGCAACGGCAAAAGGCAACAGTACTTCGAGTCTAATGGATGACATTGAAATGCATTTGGGTTTAATTGGATGGCGCAAAAAGTGTCTTTACACTTTACTGGTGCTCTTAATGCTATTGATAATCATAAACTTAGGACTAACACTATGGATATTGAAGGTCATGGAATTCTCAACGGTAGGTAAAGGTCTAAAAAGTTATTTGTTTTTATGGTAATTTTTCTTTTCACTATAGAAATGCTTATTGTATTTAATGATATTCTTTGGATAGGAATTTTGACTAAATAAGTACTAACTAGACTATACTTCAGTCGATAAACTTGATCATAGACTCATTAGTCTATAGAATAGTTTCAAATAAAGATTCGAATAATGATGGTAATCTATATAGCTGACTAAAGACCAGTCAGTAGACTTGACTGCAAGATAGTCGATAGATAGACTAGTCGATTTAACTATAGACTAGTCTATAAACTCGACTATAGAGTAGTCAACTGACTCGACAATAGATTAGTCTATGGACTCGACTATAGAGCAATCAACTAACTCGACAATAGACTAGAAGATAGACTCGACTATAAACTAGTAAATGGACCTGACTATAGACTAGTCCATAGACTCGATTATAGACAAGTCGATAGACTCGACTATAGACTAGTCGACAGACTCGACTATAGACTAGTCGACAGACTCGATTATAGACTAGTCGATAGACTCGATTATAGACTAGTCGATAGACTCGACTATAGACTAGTCGATAGACTCGACTATAAAATAGTCGATGGATTCGACTATAAACAAGTCAACGTTCTCGACTATAGACTAGTCGATTTATTCTATAGCTTTGACAGTAGACTACTCGATAGACTAGTCTAAAGACTAATCGATGGACTCGACTATAGAATAGTCGATGGACTCAACTATAGACTAGTCGATAGACTAGACTATAGACTAGTCGATAGACTCGACTATAGACTAGTCGATAGACTCGACTCGACTAGTCTATAGAGTCGACTATAGACTAGTCGATAGACTCGACTATAGACTAGTCGATAGACTCGACTATAGACTAGTCGATAGACTCGACTATAGACTAGTCGATAGACTCGACTATAGACTAGTCGATAGACTCGACTATAGACTAGTCGATAGACTCGACTATAGACTAGTCGATAGACTCGACTATAGACTAGTCGATAGACTCGACTATAGACTAGTCGATAGACTCGACTATAGACTAGTCGATAGACTTGACTGTAGACTAGTCGCTAGACTGGACTATAGACTAATCAATATACTCGTAAAAGTCTAATCGATGGACTCGACTATAGAATAGTCGATGGACTCGACTATAGAATAGTCGATGGACTCGACTATAGAATAGTCGATGGACTCGACTATAGAATAGTCGATGGACTCGACTATAGAATAGTCGATGGACTCGACTATAGAATAGTTGATGGACTCGACTATAGAATAGTCGATGGACTCGACTATAGAATAGTCGATAGACTCGACTAAAGAATAGTCGATAGACTCGACTATAGAATAGTCGATAGACTCGACTATAGAATAGTCGATAGACTCGACTATAGAATAGTCGATAGACTCGACTATAGAATAGTCGATAGACTCGACTATAGACTAGTAGATAGCGTCGACTATAGACTAGTAGATAGCGTCGATTATAGACTAGTCGATAGTATCGACTATAGGCTAGGCGATAGTATCGACTATAGGCTAGGCGATAGCGTCGACTATGGACTAGTCGATAGCCTCGACTATAGACTAGTAGATAACTTCGACTATAGATTACAATATACCAGTTGACAGACATGACTGTAGTCGATAGACTTGTCTAGGACTAGTCAAATGGCTCTATTATAGAACAGTCGATGTACTCTGCTATAGAATACTTGATCATAGACTCGACTACAGACTAGCTGATAGAATCGACGACGTACTAATCTGTAGACATTACTTAGGACTAGTCGATAGATTAATTTATGGATTAGTTAAATGAATCATCTATAGATTTGTCTATTAATTCTTCTGTAAACTAGTTGGCAAAACACTTCAAACGAGAAATCGTTAAGGGTTTTCCACTCTCAGATTTATGTCTAGAGAAAGGTTGTTATAAAGTTACTTATTTCGACTAATTTAAATACATTTCTAGCTTCATCTCTAATATTTAGCATATGTTTATTTATTTGAATTTTTGTTTCTTTTTGTAAATTTACAGGAAGGTATGGGTCAACTGAAAATTGTTCCTGGTGGTATACAACTAACTGGACAAGCTTTAATTATGGACATGTTAAGAGCATCCACAATACGCTCAAGGCATGGGCAACCTATAGCAATAGGTAAGGATAACAAAACATAATTTTTAATTTGCTTAGCTTAAACAATGTTTAGTTACAAAATAGATTAACTAATAATTTTTAAACTTTAATGCGAAAACATTTATATAGTAACTTGAAAGTCCATAAATATTGAATATCATATTCATTAAAAAACTAAATATTTTACAAACTATTTTACAAGAATTTATATGAATATTTCTGAAAACTTTTCTTATGGAGTTACTATATTTGGCCATCAACTGGCCGTACATTATTTATTCCTTTTATTTACTTCATAAACAACATAAGTAAATTTTATTTTTTTTATTTATTCATATTCTACATAAATGTGTATACATTTACTTATTATTCGAATTAGTAATTTACATAAATTTTACATTTGTTTTCCGGCACATACAATCTACTGCTAATAATCATAAAGATACAAATGAAAACCATATGAAAATGTATGTGTTTAAGTTTGTTCAACATCTTCTTTATTTCCTGTAAAATACTCACATGCACATTTCCTCCTGGAATTACGTAAATAGTAGTTTGTATGTGTTTATTTCTAATCATTATTTGTATTTGTTTATTTATGTATATGTGAGTATATTATTCGGAAATTGTTACTAGTCATTTGACATTCTTGTTTATTTGTTTAATATTTAGTCGTATAAGTGATATTTGCTTTTACATCCAAAATGTATTTACCTTGAGGTCATAATTTGTAAAAATCATGACTTTCATTTGTTTCTATTTGTCGAAGAATTAATGAAGTGGAATTGAATGTAGATACATATGTAGGACTTTGTTTATCATATGATAAACCAGAAATTTTAGTTAAAGTTAGAGTTAAAGGGATCATTGATTAGAATAAGGCAAATTACAATAACTGGTTTCATTTTGTAGAAATTATAAATATATGATATAGCAAAATCATTATAGAAGAATTTTTAGTCTATAGACTATAGACTAGACTATAGACTAGACTATAGACTAGACTATAGACTAGACTATAGACTAGACTATAGACTAGACTATAGACTAGACTATAGACTAGACTATAGACTAGACTATAGACTAGACTATAGACTAGACTATAGACTAGACTATAGACTAGACTATAGACTAGACTATAGACTAGACTATAGACTAGACTATAGACTAGACTATAGACTAGACTATAGACTAGACTATAGACTAGACTATAGACTAGACTATAGACTAGACTATAGACTAGACTATAGACTAGACTATAGACTAGACTATAGACTAGACTATAGACTAGACTATAGACTAGACTATAGACTAGACTATAGACTAGACTATAGACTAGACTATAGACTAGACTATAGACTAGACTATAGACTAGACTATAGACTAGACTATAGACTAGACTATAGACTAGACTATAGACTAGACTATAGACTAGACTATAGACTAGACTATAGACTAGACTATAGACTAGACTATAGACTAGACTATAGACTAGACTATAGACTAGACTATAGACTAGACTATAGACTAGACTATAGACTAGACTAGACTAGACTATAGACTATAGACTAGACTATAGATTAGACTAGACTATAGACTAGACTAGACTATAGACTAGACTAGACTATAGACTAGACTATAGACTAGACCATAGACTAGACTATAGACTAGACTATAGACTAGACTATAGACTAGACTATAGACTAGACTATAGACTAGACTATAGACTATACTATAGACTAGACTATAGACTAGACTATAGACTGGACTATAGACTAGACTATAGACTAAACCATAGACTAGACCATAGACTAGACCATAGACTAGACTACGCTATTGACTAGTTTATATACTCGACTATAGAATTAATCATAGACTAGAGTATAGACTATAATATAGACTAGACTGTATAGCGACTTGTGTTAGTTACTTATTTAAAATCTAATCAAGTTTTCAACAAACATTTCTCCTCAGCTTATGGTTTTCAAAACTATAAATTCTTAACATAAATTATTGTTTGTGTCCTAGTTTGAATTACTCATATGACTTCAACACACATTTTCATCACTCATTTACAAAAAGCATAAATCACCGTAAAAATCACCAAGTCATACCAAACCATATATTTTAAGCCAGAAAAATATGAACACTAGATTCACAATTTCAGATAAACAAGAAAGATGGATGAGATTTGTGAAATGGAAAAAACAGAAAATCAGTTTGTAAAGGTAAATGACACCTTCAAATGTATAGAAGACAAAAAAAAGTAAGAATAAAAAGTATGAAAGAAATTGATAAGGAAATGAAACCACATCTATTAGAAAGCTTAAGCTTAAACTATTCACGCAGTTAGAGTAAAAAACAGGAGAAAAGGAGGGTTACACGATAGCCAAGTAAACACATCTTGTTTCCTTTTTAACAAATATGTATCTTATTATCAAAAAATTTTAATCTCTATAAAATATTAGTTGAAGTTATAGACAGTGTACCCTCTTGCAAGCAATGAATTAGGGGACATTGTACCTAACGTATGTATGAAAAGGAAATGTCACAAAAATACTAAATATTACCTAAAACCACCAAAAGACATGATACATTATCAATGATATTTCCTTTTTGTTTAAGTTTTTTTTCCAAAATTATTTGTAAATGTTTTATTTTCTTATATTTTATTTCATTTCCTCATAGTTTAGTGTTTACTTGACTTTGAATGGCAACAATTTATTCTTACAATTTTCTTCGAATTTTTTTCTTCTATATTTTCTTATTTTTTGTGAATCATCATCAACAGAATCATCACGTAATTTTTCAATCAATACACGTGACACGAATGGTATGCTCGAAAATCATTTATTCCTGGGACACGATAAGCTTGAGTGCATGGCGACAGGTTTTCGTATCAATGATACAAACGGAAGAAATTTATTTTCTGTAAATCGTAATGAAGTTACAATCGGTGCACACGCTCTACGGATTGATGGTGAAGGTGGTGCCATATTTCGAGAGTCAATACAGACACCACATGTACGTGCCGAACCGGGACGTGAATTAAGGTGAGTAGTTTAATAGACTAGTATTTTATATTTGTGTAGTGTTTATTTTTATTTTTTCTATTATTATTAGTATTACTGTTATTACAGTTATTGATGTTTTGATAAATAATTTAATAAAAAAAGTTGCAAAATTATTCGACTTTAAATCGTACATCTTTCATAAACTGCGGAAAATTTGCACAATTATTTCATTAGAATATTTTTTTTACTAGTACATCGAATGTCTATAGTGAACTTCGTCTAGTATTAGATTCAATTGTCCAACATATACTGTCATTCTATAGATTGGTCCAAAGTATAGTATGTGTTATATTCTATAACCTCGATTATAGTCTAGTCTAGTCTATAGTCTAGTCTATAGTCTAGTCTATAGTCTAGTCTATAGTCTAGTCTATAGTCAAGTCTAGTCTAGTCTATAGTCTAGTCTATAGTCTAGTCTATAGTCTAGTCTATAGTCTAGTCTATAGTCTAGTCTATAGTCTAGTCTATAGTCTAGTCTATAGTCTAGTCTAGTCTATAGTCTATAGTCTAGTCTATAGTCTAGTCTATAGTCTAGTCTATAGTCTAGTCTATAGTCTAGTCTATAGTCTAGTCTATAGTCTAGTCTATAGTCTAGTCTATAGTCTAGTCTATAGTCTAGTCTATAGTCTAGTCTATAGTCTAGTCTATAGTCTAGTCTATAGTCTAGTCTATAGTCTAGTCTATAGTCTAGTCTATAGTCTAGTCTATAGTCTAGTCTATAGTCTAGTCTATAGTCTAGTCTATAGTCTAGTCTATAGTCTAGTCTATAGTCTAGTCTATAGTCTAGTCTATAGTCTAGTCTATAGTCTAGTCTATAGTCTAGTCTATAGTCTAGTCTATAGTCTAGTCTATAGTCTAGTCTATAGTCTAGTCTATAGTCTAGTCTATAGTCTAGTCTATAGTCTAGTCTATAGTCTAGTCTATAGTCTAGTCTATAGTCTAGTCTATAGTCTAGTCTATAGTCTATAGTCTAGTCTATAGTCTAGTCTATAGTCTAGTCTATAGTCTAGTCTATAGTCTAGTCTATAGTCTAGTCTATAGTCTAGTCTATAGTCTAGTCTATAGTCTAGTCTATAGTCTAGTCTATAGTCTAGTCTATAGTCTAGTCTATAGTCTAGTCTATAGTCTAGTCTATAGTCTAGTCTATAGTCTAGTCTATAGTCTAGTCTATAGTCTAGTCTATAGTCTAGTCTATAGTCTAGTCTATAGTCTAGTCTACAGTCTAGTCTATAGTCTAGTCTATAGTCTAGTCTATAGTCTAGTCTATAGTCTAGTCTATAGTCTAGTCTATAGTCTAGTCTATAGTCTAGTCTATAGTCTAGTCTATAGTCTAGTCTATAGTCTAGTCTATAGTCTAGTCTATAGTCTAGTCTATAGTCTAGTCTATAGTCTAGTCTATAGTCTAGTCTATAGTCTAGTCTATAGTCTAGTCTATAGTCTAGTCTATAGTCTAGTCTATAGTCTAGTCTATAGTCTAGTCTATAGTCTAGTCTATAGTCTAGTCTATAGTCTAGTCTATAGTCTAGTCTATAGTCTAGTCTATAGTCTAGTCTATAGTCTAGTCTATAGTCTAGTCTATAGTCTAGTCTATAGTCTAGTCTATAGTCTAGTCTATAGTCTAGTCTATAGTCTAGTCTATAGTCTAGTCTATAGTCTAGTCTATAGTCTAGTCTATAGTCTAGTCTATAGTCTAGTCTATAGTCTAGTCTATAGTCTAGTCTATAGTCTAGTCTATAGTCTAGTCTATAGTCTAGTCTATAGTCTAGTCTATAGTCTAGTCTATAGTCTAGTCTATAGTCTAGTCTATAGTCTAGTCTATAGTCTAGTCTATAGTCTAGTCTAGTCTATAGTCTAGTCTATAGTCTAGTCTATAGTCTAGTCTATAGTCTAGTCTATAGTCTAGTCTATAGTCTAGTCTATAGTCTAGTCTATATCTAGTCTAGTCTAGTCTATAGTCTAGTCTATAGTCTAGTCTATAGTCTAGTCTATAGTCTAGTCTATAGTCTAGTCTATAGTCTAGTCTATAGTCTAGTCTATAGTCTAGTCTATAGTCTAGTCTAGTCTAGTCTATAGTCTAGTCTATAGTCTAGTCTATAGTCTAGTCTATAGTCTAGTCTATAGTCTAGTCTATAGTCTAGTCTATAGTCTAGTCTATAGTCTAGTCTATAGTCTAGTCTATAGTCTAGTCTATAGTCTAGTCTATAGTCTAGTCTATAGTCTAGTCTATAGTCTAGTCTATAGTCTAGTCTATAGTCTAGGCTATAGTCTAGTCTATAGTCTAGTCTATAGTCTAGTCTATAGTCTAGTCTATAGTCTAGTCTATAGTCTAGTCTATAGTCTAGTCTATAGTCTAGTCTATAGTCTAGTCTATAGTCTAGTCTATAGTCTAGTCTATAGTCTAGTCTATAGTCTAGTCTATAGTCTAGTCTATAGTCTAGTCAATAGTCTAGTCTATAGTCTAGTCTATAGTCTAGTCTATAGTCTAGTCTATAGTCTAGTCTATAGTCTAGTCTATAGTCTAGTCTATAGTCTAGTCTATAGTCTAGTCTGTAGTCTAGTCTATAGTCTAGTCTGTAGTCTAGTCTATAGTCTAGTCTGTAGTCTAGTCTATAGTCTAGTCTGTAGTCTAGTCTATAGTCTAGTCTATAGTCTAGTCTAGTCTATAGTCTAGTCTATAGTCTAGTCTATAGTCTAGTCTATAGTCTAGTCTATAGTCTAGTCTATAGTCTAGTCTGTAGTCTAGTCTGTAGTCTAGTCTATAGTCTAGTCTATAGTCTAGTCTATAGTCTAGTCTATAGTCTAGTCTATAGTCTAGTCTATAGTCTAGTCTATAGTCTAGTCTATAGTCTAGTCTATAGTCTAGTCTATAGTCTAGTCTATAGTCTAGTCTATAGTCTAGTCTATAGTCTAGTCTATAGTCTAGTATATAGTCTAGTATATAGTCTAGTCTATAGTCTAGTCTATAGTCTAGTCTATAGTCTAGTCTATAGTCTAGTCTATAGTCTAGTCTATAGTCTAGTCCATAGTCTAGTGTATAGTCTAGTCTATAGTCTAGTCTATAGTCTAGTCTATAGTCTAGTCTATAGTCTAGTCTATAATCTAGTCTATAGTCTAGTCTATAGTCTACTCTATAGTCTAGTCTATAGGTTAGTCTATAGTCTAGTCTAGTCTACAGTTCTGTGATTCATTTCTTAAATTGTTAAAAAAATGGCAAAAGTATTAAATAGTTACATTTCACTTGTTTACATATATTTACAATATCTGCGTTGTGTTTAGTCATATTATTGTTTAGGTTAAAAATAAAGCAGAAATTTATTACCGTAGGGCGAAATGTCTGAAAATACCTGTTATATAATGGACTCTTTCATCAGTAAATAAAACATGTTTATAATATAGACTGATGCCAGTAGTAATAGTCTATAAGTCAGACAACGTTAAAATCGTTTAAATTTTTTAATACTGCTACAAAAATCTCTTATTTTTTTTTTGTTCCAAATACGAATGTAAGCCGAGAATAAACAGCAATTCACATACACACATAAGCACCCACACAAACAAACATATGTCATTAAACAGGAAATATACTCGTACAGCAGATACAGACAGACGGACAGAAAAAAATAGAGTTTATTAAAAAGTGCTCAAAGGGTTTTAAGTGACAAATATGGATTGTATTTGTTTACATATGCATGTCAGTGCACAAATAACTTCATACACTTGCAATATTTTTTAATATATACACACACCTACATGCTATATACAGATTGATCCTCACAACATGGTTGGGTCTATGAACAAACAGTTTGATAAAATGTGGTATGAATACTTGAATGGATGAATGAATGACGGAATGAATGTTTGGATTTTTGCATCAACACTTTAGGCAGCAACAGCAATAACAACATCATCATCATCTACAGCAACAATATACATATCTATGTATATCCCAGCTGTTTTGCATATAGCTATAACATCCTTTTAGACAGTAATTTTTCCGACTTTGTACTACTTTATTCAAATTTCTATATTTTTGATTATTTGTCAAGTATGAATTCGAAGTAATCTATTGTCAAATCTGTTGTCCTTTTGTAATCCAAAGTTAGGTCCCATTACTTACGTCCTTGTTTTGGATGTTCTACAATGATTCATTCTTCACAAAATTATGACGCTGTTACTGACATAAGAACAGGACAACTACCTCGAACTACAGGGATATGTATAATTGAGTGTATATATACATATGTGTAAATATGTGAGTGCAGTAGTATGTGTGTGTGTGCATTGTAGAGTAAATCTATCAACATGATGTTATCATCATATCAAGCAATTTACTTATGCATTCTTTCAATGATTTTTTTGTTGATTTTATATTTATGTATTTTGTGAAAGTACCAGTAAGGATTAAGGATGCACTGCATCTGTGTAAAAACAGTAGAAACGGAAATAAAGTAAACAAAAAATAAAGTCGAAACCCTATTGTAATTAAATATATATTTCTTCTGAATTTTTTCTTTGGCAACTTCCGTTCCCTAAAGTTTTTCTCCCTCTGTTCACTTGCCATTTAATAGATTTTTACCAAATTTATTTGTTTATTTACTATACTCCCAAAAATATTTATAGTGTTTATGACACAAGTGTTAAATTGTTAATTTATTTAAGAATTTCTATTTTTAGCTTCTAATTGTTTGTTATATTTCCGACAAAAAAAAAACAAACACAAATTGCTTAATATTTATAGGACATTAATTTATTTATTTGTTTATTTTTTCTGTCCTTAAAGATTGGAATCACCCACACGTCAATTGGAAATGACAGCTGCAAAGGATATAAATTTTCAATCACGTGCAGGAGGCATTGAAATCTCCGCACTGGAGGATGTTAAATTGACAGCACTGGATGGAAGTGTAAGTATTTGGGCATATTTTTGTTTATTTTACAGACTTTTAAATAAATTTTATAAAATAAATATTTATGGGAAATTTAAAAGGGAAAAAATATAATTAAAACGTGATAATTAAAAGAAAGTGTTTGTTTTCAATTGGAAATGGAATATTTTCTATGTATAAAAAGAAAATTTATCGCATATTTTCTATAAAAAGAAAATTTATCGAAATTCTATAGAAATCTATCGAAAATTTTCTATAAAAAAAAATTATCGAAAATGTTCTATAGAAAGAAAATTTATCCAAATCTTTCTACAGAAAGAAAATTTATCGAAAACTTTCTACAGAAAGAAAATGTATCGAAAATTTTCTATACAAAGAAAATTTCTCGAAAATGTTCTATAGAAAGAAAATTTATCGAAAATTTTCTATACAAAGAAAATTTCTCGAAAATGTTCTATAGAAAGAAAATTTCTCGAAAATGTTCTATAAAAGAAAATTTCTCGAAAATGTTCTATAGAAAGAAAATTTCTTGAATAGGTTCTCTATAGAAAGAAAATTTATCGAAAATTTTCTATAGAAAAAAAATTATCGAAAATTTTCTATAGAAACAAAATTTATTGAAAATTTGTTATAGAAAGAAAATTTATCGAAAATGTTCTATAGAAAGAAAATTTATCGAAAATGTTCTATAGAAAAAAAATTTATGGAAAATTTCCAATAGAAAGAAAATTTCTCGAAAATGTTTTATAGAAACAAAATTTATCGAAAATTTTCTATAGAAACAAAATTTATCGAAAATTTTCTATAGAAACAAAATTTATCGAAAATTTTCTATAGAAACAAACTTTATTGAAAATTTTCTATAGAAAGAAAATTTATCGAAAATGTTCTATAGAAAGAAAATTTATCGAAAATGTTCTATAGAAAGAAAATTTATGGAAAATGTTCTATAGAAAGAAAATTTATGGAAAATTTTCTATAGAAAGAAAATTTCTCGAAAATGTTCTATAGAAAGAAAATTTCTCGAAAATGTTCTATAGAAAGAAAATTTATCGAAAATGTTCTATAGAATGAAACTTTATCGAAAATGTTCTATAGAATGAAAATGTATCGAAAATTTTCTATAGAAAGAAAATTTATCGAACATTTTATATAGAAAGAAAATTTATCAAAAATTTTCTATAGAAAGAAAATTTATCGAAAATTTTCTATGGAAATAAAATTTATCGGAAATTTTCTACAAAAAGAAAATTTATCGAAAGATTTTCTATAAAATAAAAAAAATATGAACAGTTTTTTATAAAATGGAAAAGGAAAATTTTCTATGAAATGAAAATTTAGGAAAAAATTTTTTAAAAATCAAATATATCAAAAATATTCTATAAAAATGAAAATTTATCAAAAACTTTATATAATATGGGATTCTATCGAATATTCTCTTTGAAATGAGAAATTGGCTAAAAATTCTCTATAAAGGAAAAATCTATCCAAAATTGACTTAAAGAGTGAATTTGGCAAAAATTCTTTATAAATACAAAACTTATAGAGATTTCTCTACAAAGAGAAAATTTTTTGAAAAGTTTCCAATAAGAATTGATCGACAATTTCTTTAAAGCATTCTTCATAGACACAAAATCAAACAAGTACATCATTAATACTCTCAATGGCCTTAATAAATATTTCCTTATTCTCTTTATTTCCTTTCACTCAACAGCTACGCTTTGAATCCTCCAAGATCTTCATGCCCAACCTACGAACTGTGCAATTACCCTTGCCAGGGACACCACAAAGTCGTGAACATCTGCATCGTGTTTTTCAATTATGTGCCTGTGCGAATGGTAAATTATTTTTGGCGGCGCCACACTCAATATGCGCCGGGGATGATACAACCGTTTGTAGATGATCAACAGAAGAAAATCAACAGGACAATAATAGAAAAGCAAAAAAGGAAACAAAAACACACAAGATTATAAGAAATACATAAGAACTGACAATGCGCCTGATGCAGGGGTTTAGATAAATACACTTAGAGAAAACAAATTAACTAAAAACAAAGGTAGTTTTTAAAATATATAATAACAAGTATAAAAATAAAATAAAAGCCGCCGAAAGTTATTTGTGTTAAAAAGTTTTGTATGTTGAATATAAAATAAAAATATTTTAATTTATTTTTAGTATTTAGTAGAGAGTATATTATAAATATTGTTTGTTATTAACTAAAAATAAATATAAAATATAAAATACATAAAATGTATGTAAATATTATTGAAAATATAAACTAGTTGTTGATTTAGTCCAAAAATGAGAAGAATATTACTATAACTAGTAATTAATATTAATAAATAGGGCAATTATTATGCAAAAAAAAAGTTAATGATTAAACCCAAAAATTCGCAATAAAATTGAAAAAAAAATATTTATATGAAAGAGTATGTGTCTATTAAAATTTATACCATGAATGAAAGAATACATGTATACTTATGTAAATTTATATATAGAGTATAAAACAAATACAAAACCTATTTATATAAAAATAGACATACCAACATACATATGTAGAAATATTCAAACACATATAATCAAATTGAAAAGTAAAATACGAGGATGTTTCAAAAATAAGATACAGGTAAGCGAAAAGACAACTTTATCCTGCATACAAAATTTATCGGTAAATCTACACCTCGTATTTTCATATCATTATTAAATAGTTCATATGTATAAAACAGAGGCCTATTAGTCGTAAGCTTTAAGAAAGTAGTTATAAAATCCCACAATTTCTTAAAAAAAATAATAATTTAAGTAAAAACATTATATCAAAAATATTTTATATAGATTATTAACTCAAACCATTTAAGCAACATAGTATAATTTATTTTATATATAAATTCCTGTTTTATATTTAAATTTATTTAGTTTTAAACCAATAGTGTTCTTTACTTTTTGTTTAAAATTGTATAAAAATTTGTTTGTCATATACTTTTGCCTCCCAATACCCACACAAATACATAAATATATTTAACAAAAATAGTTATACACCAAAATCAAAGAGCTTCTTTTAATTAATAACTAAAAAATATACTAAACTATAATGGTTATAACCTAGTTTATAATGAAATATATATGAAGATAAACAAATGTAAGCAAGAAAATATACGAAAGTTATGCGTAATCAACTTATATCAAAACAAACGGTAAAACATTCTTCAATTTTATTAGATTCAGCCAATTTTATTTTCATTAGCAAAAACCAGTTGTAATACATTTCCAGTTCAGTTCTAGTTCAGTTCTAGTTCAGTTCTAGTTCAGTTCTAGTTCAGTTCTAGTTCAGTTCTAGTTCAGTTCTAGTTCAGTTCTAGTTCAGTTCTAGTTCAGTTCTAGTTCAGTTCTAGTTCAGTTCTAGTTCAGTTCTAGTTCAGTTCTAGTTCAGTTCTAGTTCAGTTCTAGTTCAGTTCTAGTTCAGTTCTAGTTCAGTTCTAGTTCAGTTCTAGTTCAGTTCTAGTTCAGTTTTAGTTCAGTTCTAGTTCAGTTCTAGTTCAGTTCTAGTTCAGTTCTAGTTCAGTTCTAGTTCAGTTCTAGTTCAGTTCTAGTTCAGTTTCTAGTTCAGTTCTAGTTCAGTTCTAGTTCAGTTCTAGTTCAGTTCTAGTTCAGTTCTAGTTCAGTTTAGTTCAGTTCTAGTTCAGTTCTAGTTCAGTTCTAGTTCAGTTCTAGTTCAGTTCTAGTTCAGTTCTAGTTCAGTTCTAGTTCAGTTCTAGTTCAGTTCTAGTTCAGTTCTAGTTCAGTTCTAGTTCAGTTCTAGTTCAGTTCTAGTTCAGTTCTAGTTCAGTTCTAGTTCAGTTCTAGTTCAGTTCTAGTTCAGTTCTAGTTCAGTTCTAGTTCAGTTCTAGTTCAGTTCTAGTTCAGTTCTAGTTCAGTTCTAGTTCAGTTCTAGTTCAGTTCTAGTTCAGTTCTAGTTCAGTTCTAGTTCAGTTCTAGTTCAGTTCTAGTTCAGTTCTAGTTCAGTTCTAGTTCAGTTCTAGTTCAGTTCTAGTTCAGTTCTAGTTCTAGTTCAGTTCTAGTTCAGTTCTAGTTCAGTTCTAGTTCAGTTCTAGTTCAGTTCTAGTTCAGTTCTAGTTCAGTTCTAGTTCAGTTCTAGTTCAGTTCTAGTTCAGTTCTAGTTCAGTTCTAGTTCAGTTCTAGTTCAGTTCTAGTTCAGTTCTAGTTCAGTTCTAGTTCAGTTCTAGTTCAGTTCTAGTTCAGTTCTAGTTCAGTTCTAGTTCAGTTCTAGTGTTCAGTTCTAGTTCAGTTCTAGTTCAGTTCTAGTTCAGTTCTAGTTCAGTTCTAGTTCAGTTCTAGTTCAGTTCTAGTTCAGTTCTAGTTCAGTTCTAGTTCAGTTCTAGTTCAGTTCTAGTTCAGTTCTAGTTCAGTTCTAGTTTCAGTTCTAGTTCCGTTCTAGTTTCAGTTCTAGTCAGTTCTAGTTCAGTTCTAGTTCAGTTCTATGTTCAGTTCTAGTTCAGTTCTAGTCAGTTCTAGTTCAGTTCTAGTTCAGTTCTAGTTCAGTTCTAGTTCAGTTCTAGTTCAGTTCTAGTTCAGTTCTAGTTCAGTTCTAGTTCAGTTCTAGTTCAGTTCTAGTTCAGTCTAGTTCAGTTCTAGTTCAGTTCTAGTTCAGTTCATAGTTCAGTTCTAGTTCAGTTTTAGTTCAGTTAGTTCTAGTTCTAGTTCGTAGTTCAGTTCTAGTTCAGTTCTAGTTCAGTTCTAGTTCAGTTCTAGTTCAGTTCTAGTTCAGTTCTAGTTCAGTTCTAGTTCAGTTCTAGTTCAGTTCTAGTTCAGTTCTAGTTCAGTTCTAGTTCAGTTCTAGTTCAGTTCTAGTTCAGTTCTAGTTCAGTTCTAGTTCAGTTCTAGTTCAGTTCTAGTTTAGTTCTAGTTCAGTTCTAGTTCAGTTCTAGTTCAGTTCTAGTTCAGTTCTAGTTCAGTTCTTGTTCAGTTCTAGTTCAGTTCTAGTTCAGTTCTAGTTCAGTTCTAGTTCAGTTCTAGTTCAGTTCTAGTTCAGTTCTAGTTCAGTTCTAGTTCAGTTCTAGTTCAGTTCTAGTTCAGTTCTAGTTCAATTCTAGTTCAATTCTAGTTCAGTTCTAGTTCAGTTCTAGTTCAGTTCTAGTTCAGTTCTAGTTCAGTTTTAGTTCAGTTCTAGTTCAGTTCTAGTTCAGTTCTAGTTCAGTTCTAGTTCAGTTCTAGTTCAGTTCTAGTTCAGTTCTAGTTCAGTTCTAGTTCAGTTCTAGTTCAGTTCTAGTTCAGTTCTAGTTCAGTTCTAGTTCAGTTCTAGTTCAGTTCTAGTTCAGTTCTAGTTCAGTTCTAGTTCAGTTCTAGTTCAGTTCTAGTTCAGTTCTAGTTCAGTTCTAGTTCAGTTCTAGTTCAGTTCTAGTTCAGTTCTAGTTCAGTTCTAGTTCAGTTCTAGTTCAGTTCTAGTTCAGTTCAGTTCTAGTTCAGTTCTAGTTCAATTCTAGTTCAGTTCTAGTTCAGTTCTAGTTCAGTTCAGTTCTAGTTCAGTTCTAGTTCAGTCCTAGTTCAGTTCTAGTTCAGTTCTAGTTCAGTTCTAGTTCAGTTCTAGTTCAGTTCAAGTTCAGTTCTAGTTCAGTTCTAGTTCAGTTCTAGTTCAGTTCTAGTTCAGTTCTAGTTCAGTTCTAGTTCAGTTCTAGTTCAGTTCTAGTTCAGTTCTAGTTCAGTTCCAGTTCAGTTCTAGTTCAGTTCTATCAGTTCTAGTTCAGTTAGTTTATTTTTTCTCTTATGTAATATTTTTAAAAGTGTTTTTACGCACTTTTGCATTTCATGTGACGATATGTAAAATTTATCTAAACTTTTTTATTTGCTTAATTAATATTTATTGCTTTTGTTTACCACGTTTCTAATGAAACTATGCAATTAATTTTAAAATCCACAAATTCATGATTCAATTGTACTGTTAGTAATATTAAACCAATGTAAATAAATAGTTTAAATTTTAACAGCTATTCTCTAAACAAACACAATTAATTTATTTAATACTCTTTACTTTATAATCTAACAAATGCAAACATATTTTTATGTTAATAATAATTTTAATTAGTTTAATCATAAAAACATTATTTAATAATTGTAACAAAATATAAATTATAAAAACAAAAGTGAAAAATAAATAATTTTTTGATACACAATTAAACCACAAAATTGAAATGTTAGAGCAAAAAGATAAATACATAATCTTAAAAAAAAACATGTATGTAATATTGTTTATTATATAGTATATAAACAGATAAATATAAAAACAAATATATATAAAATATATATGATTAAATAATACATAAAGAATGAAAAAAATAAAGGAAAAAACATTATATATACTAGAAACAACAACAAAAAACACAATAACAAAAAGAAAATAAATATAACAAAAAGTCTTTTAATGCTTTAATTTTATTTGACAGGAAAAAATACAACAACAATAACATATTATAAAATGATTTTGCGCATTCTTTCATTTCGAAAACAAATATTACGTATACGTCTGATGGTATGTAGCTGAAATTTTTGTAACTCCTAAAAGTATGCTTCTCAGAAAAGAAAACTCACGTACATTTAGACAATATAAAGAAAATATACTCGTATGAGTAGGAGTACTTCATACTCATCATTTTCGTTATTATTATCATGAGATTCTTTCATTAGAAGTGGTGGGTGCGTCTAAAATATATTTCAAGTGTTGGGTGTAGCTGCTGTCTAAAAACTCTTCATTCATTTTTTACAGATGTAAAAGGAAAAAACATATATTTTTTGTGTCTGCTAGTGACGAACAGAAATGAAAGTGTGTCTGTAAAGTTCTAGCTGTTTTTATTATCCTAATGGGAGAGTAGTTGTGTTTTTTCTACATTTTTATAATCCACAAATGGAGTTATTTTTGATTTAATTTTTTTTTTGTTTGGCTGCACTGTTGAGTTAAAGCTTTAATACGTGCAAAAACATTTTATTTAAAAAATATTTGTGCAGCTAAATATTTCTATTTCTATAATTTCGAAAAAAATTCTATTTTGTTGTCTTATTGCAAAGAAATTCATTCGATTAGACTTTATCAAATATCTAAATAACATTAGAGTAAAAATAAAATAGTTATCTCTCTTCTGCATAAGGTTTTATTATTATGTATATTTAATTGTTTATTTACAGTAAGTTATAAGCAATATGTAATTAAAAATATATTACTCATACGCAACATAACCAATGTCAATAGAAAAAATGTTTAGAAAATATTCTGATCCAGAACTGAACTAGAACTGAACTAGAACTGAACTAGAACTGAACTAGAACTGAACTAGAACTGAACTAGAAACTGAACTAGAACTGAACTAGAACTGAACTAGAACTGAACTAGAACTGAACTAGAACTGACCTAGAACTGAACTAGAACTGAAATGAACTGAACTAGAACTGAACTAGAACTGAACTAGAACTGAACTAGAACTGAACTAGAACTGAACTAGAACTGAACTAGAACTGAACTAGAACTGAACTAGAAACTGAACTAGAACTGAACTAGAACTGAACTAGAACTGAACTAGAACTGAACTAGAACTGAACTAGAACTGAACTAGAACTGAACTAGAACTGAACTAGAACTGAACTAGAACTGAACTAGAACTGAACTAGAACTGAACTAGAACTGAACTAGAACTGAAACTAGAACTGAACTAGAACTTAACTAGAACTGAACTAGAACTGAACTAGAACTGAACTAGAACTGAAAACTAGAACTGAACTAGAACTGAACTAGAACTGAACTAGAACTGAACTAGAACTGAACTAGAACTGAACTAACTAGAACTGAACTAGAACTGAAACCAAACTGAACTAGACTGAACTAGAACTGAACTAGAACTGAACTAGAACTGAACTAGAACTGAACTAGAACTGAACTAGAACTGAACTAGAACTGAACTAGAACTGAACTAGAACTGAACTAGAACTGAACTAGAACTGAACTAGAACTGAACTAGAACTGAACTAGAACTGAACTGAACTAGAACTGAACTAGAACTGAACTAGAACTGAACTAGAACTGAACTAGAACTGAACTAGAACTGAACTAGAACTGAACTAGAACTGAACTAGAACTAGAACTGAACTAGAACTGAACTAGAACTGAACTAGAACTAGAACTGAACTAGAACTGAACTAGAACTGAACTAGAACTGAACTAGAACTGAACTAGAACTGAGCTAGAACTGAACTAGAACTGAACTAGAACTGAACTAGAACT